CTTGGATTCAACTCACTTTCAATTTTCCTTTTATTTGAAAGAAAATTATATATAATTTGTAATTTTTAGTAGTCATTATATGCTGTGACTGATATCATGTGCGTTACAAGCTTCTGTTTGAAAAGAGCGTTCATGTGTAGCTATGTGTGTATGTGTGTGTATATTTGTGTGTGTGTTTGTGTGGTTTCCACAAAGAAATGTAGAAAACACAAACGATTACAACACTGTAGAACATCACTGAATTAAATTAGCCTATACACTTTACATATAAATCACATTTCTTATCAATATACATTTAATGATTAACAATAAAGATTAATAATAAGGAAAAGAGGCACATTACAAATAGCCTACGTCGTTGAAGCCTGTCCAACTGTAGATAAACAGAACACCCGCTTATTATCTAACAATAATGTACCTCAAAGAAGCACAAATAAAGATATAGGTGCAAACAGAATACAGTGACGTCAACCTTGGTTTTAATAAGCAGTTATTATTTTATGACACAGAACGCGTTGGTGAAACTCATGCATCTAGCAAGAACTTAATACACAAAATAGTCATATTGATTCAAGCATTTAACATTTATGAATGAATTAAATGTCAGTAGCCTAATGAACAATACTGTACAAATTATAGCGATCGAGGTCGTTCATATTCTATTCCAAACGCGTACAGTAAAGTGGACATACAGTATAGCCTACAACACCCCATCAGTTATATTCAGGTCAATAGTGCCACCTGTTGGCGCAGTTTTGTAACTTAGAGAACAACTTTTTTTATGTCGAGATCACGAGAAAATTAAGTCGTTATAACGAGAAAACAACTCTCGTTATGTCGATATAACGAGAAAATTAAGTGGTTATAACGAGAAAACAACTCTCGTTATGTCGATATAATGAGAAAATTAAGTCGTTATAACGAGAAAACAACTCTCGTTATGTCGATATAACGAGAAAATTAAGTCGTTATAACGAGAAAACAACTCTCGTTATGTCGATATAACGAGAAAATTAAGTCGTTATAACGAGAAAACAACTCTCGTTATGTCGATATAACGAGAAAATTAAGTCGTTATAACGAGAAAACAACTCTCGTTATGTCGATATAACGAGAAAATAAGTCGTTATAACGAGAAAACAACTCTCGTTATGTCGATATAACGAGAAAATAAGTCGTTATAACGAGAAAACAACTCTCGTTATGTCGATATAACGAGAAAATAAGTCGTTATAACGAGAAAACAAGAAGGGGAAAAAAAAATAATGCATGGCCGCTTAGAACTTCCGTACCTTTGTACATTAATTGAATAATTATTTTTAGTCAAGCATTATCAAGCATTTCAATATACATGGCGTTGACATGAGCTTTTGTAATATTATGATGTTTGGTTTCATAGTTGAGCAGCATGGTACGTCACCTCTAGCCAGTCCCATGTCTCCTCGCTCCATCTCCTCCAATCCTTCGTCTCGTGACTCGTCTCCGAGTCGTGACTACTCGCCTACAGTCAATCTCCTGCGCTCACCAATCACTATCCATCGCTCTGGAAAGAAGTACGGCTTCACCTTGCGTGCCATCAGAGTCTACATGGGCGACAGTAACGTCTACAGCGTGCATCACATGGTCTGGGTACGGAAACATAACGCTCTTCTCATTTATAGCTAAAGAATGAGTTACATGTCAAGTCAGTCAAGTCACCTTTATTTATATAGCACTTTTAACAATACAGATTGTGTCAAAGCAACTGAACAGCATTAATTAGGAAAATAGTGTCAATAATGCAAAATGACAATAGTAAACACTCATTTTTCAGTTAAAGACAGTTCATCATTGAATTCAGTGATGTCAACATCCAGCTCAGTTTAAATAATATCTTTGCAATCAAGTCAACGATATCGCTGGAAATGAAGTGTCCCCAACTAAGCAAGCCAGAGGCGACAGCGGCAAGGGTCCAATCACAGCATGTAGAGTCTGGTGGGCCGGCCCAGGAGGCGGGGCTTTGTGCTGGTGACCTCATCACCCATGTGAACAGGGAGTCTGTGCACGGATTGGTGCACACAGAGGTGGTGGAGCTCATTCTGAAGGTGTGGGCATCACAAACACACCTGATAATAACATTACAGAGATATTAATCAATACATTTAACATGGCACATTACATTTTCAGAGTGAAAGCAAAGTGACAGTCACAACCACTCCATTCGAAAACACGTCCATAAAGATCGGACCGGCCAGGAAGCTGAGCTACAAAGCCAAGATGGCCAGACGCAACAAGAAGTCAGTCGCAAAAGATGGACAAGAGAGGTCAGAAAGAGCAAATATATTTACAGAACCGTACACCACATTTATATACAGTAATTGCTTTACTCAATTTGCCCCTCTCTCTCTGTCTGTCTGCAGTAAGAAGCGCAGCTCTCTCTTTCGTAAGATCACAAAACAGTCCAACCTGCTTCACACCAGTCATAGTCTGTCCTCTTTGAATCGCTCGCTGTCGTCTGGAGACAGTCTACCTGGATCGCCGACACACAACCTGTCACCTCGCTCGCCCACGCAGACGTACCGCTCTCCTCCAGACTCCGCCTTTCTCGGTCAGAGCTCCTCCCACTGCTTTATGATTATATTACAAATCTCATTGGCTGAATCTGTGGTGTTGTTTATACTTGTTTTAGTTTGAACAAGTAGTTTTTATTATATGTATATACATTTTGTTAACAAATTACAAGTGTGTAGTCTTGTTTTATATACTTAACATGCATTACAGTGCATTACAGCGACAGCAACAGTACTCAAGGTGGCGATAGAGTTGCTGTTTAATGTTTGTAACTGTGTGTATTAGCGCCCCTTGCAACAGTGTGGATATAGCAATACATACATGAATATCACTCATTATGTGCCTCATGCAGAATCCATGGTCTCTGAAGATCAAGTTTGTGGCAAGAAGCGTCTGTGTTCATATGCATGCAACATGAGATAACACACTTGGAATTGGGTTTGTATGTATTTGACAAACATTTGACCTACTAAAGATGATATTTCTGTCACACGTGGTGCTTCTTTCCTTTTGACTTGCGTTGCAATTAACTAAATTAACCTTTGATATTTGGCTTCAGTCAGTGCTGGGTGTTTTGACTGATTGTGTGCCCTTTTCAAGTTTCTTTGAGGTTCTGAGCTGTTCTGTCCTTGTCTTCTCAGGCGCATCGTCTCAGAGCAGTTCTCCAGGACCCAGCACGCCAAACTCGCCTGCAACATCTCAGCACATGCGGCCGAGCTCTCTTTATGGTCTCTCACCCAAACTCCACCGGCAGTACCGTTCTGCTCGCTGCAAATCCGCTGGGAACATTCCTCTGTCTCCGCTGGCTCACACGCCATCCCCTACTTCGTCTTCCCCGCCACCCATCGCTGGACACACCGTCGGCAGCTCCAACACCACACAGGCCTTCCCCGCCAAGCTCCACGCCTCTCCTCCAATCACCCGCCCCCGGCCCAAGAGCGCAGAACCACCCCGTTCGCCTCTTCTTCAACGGGTGCAGTCGGCAGAGAAGCTCGGCCCACCCCCTCCGCCTTCATTTCCATCCTCCTCGTCTTCCGTGGGCTCGGACAGAAAAGGAGGGCTTTGCGTGTCCATGAGGAAGCATGGTTTGGAAATTGTGCACGCTGAATACCGGCGGGAGTCGTTCCACTGTGAACACGCCCTCCAGAGCCTGATGGAGATTGAGGGCGAGAACACGCCTGGGGCTCCGCCCTCTCCACCCGACCAGACACCAACACACATGCCCGCCCAGCTCACAATGAGTCCGGGGAGGCAGCTCGGGAGGCAGGACTCATTGGCGGGACAAGAGTCAGAGGAGAAAGCGAGGCAGCCCAACTCAAGTGAAGTCGTTTTAAGGACTGCGTCGAAAACCCAACCAGTAGCACCCACCTTGGATCCTAAATCAACCCAGTCTGGCGAGCCACCTCAGAAGGAGAAAGTGGCCTCCAAGTCTGAGTCTTCTCACATATCAGTTGTCTTGACAGGAAAGGAAGCAGTTGTATCTGGCCCCAAGATCCCAGAGCAGACGCCAGTTGTCCAGGGCTCTGGAGCACAGGAACTCAAACCCCATAGCCTTCAAACTGATGGTCCCAAAGGGCTGGAAAATGGAAAAGACATGGGAAAGATCCAAGTGAAGGAGAAAACTGCGCAGGCAATGGCTCCAGAAGCAAACAAGTCAGGTAAAGGACCTCTAAACATTGAGGGGACTGCACCTAGTCCTGTTGCTGCACCGAAAGTCTCAGAAGCAGTTCCTGCCCAGTCCAAAACCATTGAAGAACAGGTTCAAACCCCATCGGGGTCAACCAGAGGCCCTCAAGAGGAAAGATGTCGCCTGGAAGCAGCTGAAGAGTCCCCAGCCTCTCCATCTCCAACCGCCCGATCGCCTTGTGCAAGCAAATCACGTGCTGTATCTCCTGGCTTCGTGATGCAGCTCACCAGTGTGGCTAAAACTGTGCTCGGGCCGATGAAGTTGGGCTCTCAAGATGGCGGCAAGGCCAAAGACAGCGCCAAAGCCAATGAGGACAAACGAGCCACCACGTTGGGAAAGTCTGAGGCCTCGTCTGGGAGTCGCCGTGGCTTGACGGGAACATGGCCCGGTCCTGGATCGTCAAAGCCTGAAAAGACATCAAAGAGCTCTTCCAAGCATTCGTAATATTCTTAATGGGAACTTTCAGTTCGGAACTTTAAATAGGATGTGTTCCCAGTATTTGTCCAAATGCAGACTGTTCAAAAGACTCTACAGCCATCAAACCAAGATATTACACAAAAAAATCAAGTAAAGGTGCTTCAAAATGACCGTTGTCAAATATGTTTGTTTGTGCATATGCTGTAAGAATATATGCACCATTGTATGTGGATGTAGAACAAACCAGTATGTCTCTCTAGATGCATGTTACATGTATATTGTGAATCAATGAGTCAAAAAAATTAGATATGAAAAATTAAACAAAGACCTAATGCTAGTGAACACTGCACATCCAATCATTCCTGCCCGGTCTGTAGAGGGCATGACCTGTCATTCACCACCATATCAACCAATCAGTTTGGCAGATTTAGAAACGTGAGGTTGTTAAAGTGTTTACTTAGTGACCGACACCATAGCTTTAAACAATCTCAGTCCAGTACCTCAGCAATACTGTTAAACTGCCAACAGTAGAGCTATACTAGAGGCAACAGAATGCCTAACTAGAGGTTTGGGAGGGTTTAACTGGTGGAAAAGGGAATTAATTGTTGCACAAGGACAGAACCACATGTATAAGTGCTTGTTTCTGTTGTCTTAATTACATTTGCACTGGAAATGCCCAGCAAAAGTCAACATGAAATCAGAATTCACCATGTTTACTTTCTTAATGGATTTCAATGTTGTTTAATCTGCATAAAATGTAATATTTGATCCACCCTGACTAAGTCTGTAGTCAAATAGCTACTTAGTAGGAAATGCAGCTTTTTTACCGACTAGTAATAGAGTAATTTAATGCATAAACAGATTTGGAAAAGAAGCATGACTGTTATGGAATTAAATTGGGTTGCAGATGTCGTTTCATGTTGACTTTTATGTGGATGAATTTAAATGTCTTTAGAAAGGAGTAAGGAGAGTATATATAGTTTTAATTTGCCACTCTGAGACTGAAGGGAAAACCTCAAGGATGACATTGTTAAGAAATGATATTGAGATTATTAGATGAACTCTATGAAGAAAATAGGTCACTATGATGTCATCCTGTTAGAATATATATATTATAGGCCAGTAAATGCACTGTGGATTATACACTTGAATTCTTACAAATCTGACGAAGCCTGAATTAATCTTTAGTATATGCAGAAGAGTTTGTGAAGTGTGAGGTGGTACATGTGTAGATGTGTTTCATTTGACTCCATTCAGGGCTTTTAATTCACTTTTGCTACATTGTGTCCAACTTTTATAGGAAGTTGACATGTGAACGTCTAGTGGTCTGCAAGAGATGAAACGATGTTTTAGAAGTGGCTTCATGTTACATGAGGAACTGATACAATCTGTTTACACTTTAAATCACACGGTCACTCTCACGTTTGTGTGAACGTCCTTTGGAGACTCTGTGTGTAGTGAATCTAGTGATGTCTTAGGAGTGTTTGGTGCCATGATAATGCAATGATTTTCTTCCAAATCAGCCGATCCTTGATCCTTGATTGCCAATAGAGGACTTTACACTTCACCCAAATATATTAACCTGAATATGTTCTTTGGTATTTTCATCTAGACGTAGTACCACAATAATACAATTTTTTTGGACATACACGATGGTATTGCCCTGAATATACATGGATATGTTAATGATTCAGTGGTGTATCTATGATCCATGGTACACTCCATGGTACACCCAATGTTGGGTCAAATATGGACTAACCCAACTGTTGGGTTAAATTTTGGTTACATTTTGAAATTAGCTTTTTAACCCAACAGTTGGGTTAATCCATATTTGACCCAACATTGGGTTGAAACAACCCAGCATTTTTTAGAGTGTATATATCAGGTACCATCATTGTACCATGGTAACACCACAGTACTTTTTGTAAGAATAATGTCATATTTTATAAGTTTAATAATATTTGAGTAGGGTGTATATGCCTTTATTGTGTTTTCAGATTGGTTTGTGCTGTGAAGTGTGTGTATGTAGGATAGATCGTGTCAGTGAGTTTAGATTAGACACCGTTACTCACGCAACAAGTACAAGCAATGTTACAGAATGCACTTTATTGATTTATCTCTTTGTATTTATTTATTTGTTTATAACGTTATTTTAATGATTTTCACCCTGTTTGATTATTAAAAACTGCGCTGCTTTGCATAAATCTTCCTCAAACGGTTTTACCTGTGCATTTTTTTGTACATTCACTTCTTATATCATTGTTTATTTCAAATTTTTTATGATTTCTCACCTCAGGCAATGTTATAAATGAATGCAATTTTAAAAATATCAATAATAAAGTGCAGTAATAATGAATAAGCCAACTGTTTTGTGTTGTCTGTCCTCTTGTGTTTGTATATAAATGCTTAAATGATAAATTAAATATTTAGTTATAGCAGGATTTGGGACAAATGATGTGCACATCAAAGTTTAAAATTGTACATATGTATAAGCAGTGTTGCCAGCAAATTAATTTCACATGTTTGCAGTTAAAATAAAATATGACTCTTACCATTTTCTGTTCCCTCAGACCAAACACTATTGTAATATGATTAAACCCAGTATAATGATCTAATACTTAGTGTACTTATTCTATGGCAAGCCATTTTAACTTTTAATGTTTAAAATGTACTAGCTATTTTCATGCTACTAGTACTTATTTTTTTAGACACTAGTTAATATTTGATGAGGTACTAGTACATATTCATTAACAACTAGTGTTTATTCTTTAGATGCTAGTGCGTGTTCTTTAGGTACTAGTACATCTTTAAGATACTTTTTCATTAGATACTAGTTCTTATTTATTAGATACTAGTACTTATTCCAGTAGCGACTAGCATTTAATTATACTTTACTTGTTAAGAAAAATTACTTAACTTAACTTGAATACTTAACTTAACTTAACCTGAACTTAATAGTTACTAGTACGTTTTGAATTTACATTTCTGCTCAGTATGCTAATAATAATATTTTGCATATTAACAAATCATCAGGAAGCTGTTGGCTGGAGACGAGGCACATGATAGCGTTGCTTGTCAAAACTAGCAAATTTGAACGATTAAGGATTTAATATTGAAATACTGACAAAAATTCACTACGGGTAAAATTAATTCACATATATGTTGACTGTTTTGTTCATCAGTGCTCTGTAGATTAGACTATGAACACTCAGTTATTCAGATGTTTCATTTTTTGACATATGTTCTATTAAGGAACACTTTATTATAATGAAAACGTATTTTTGCCAGTGATGTAAATAATGTTTCTATGTTGTTCGCTATATGTTGTCATGTTATGTTATCATATGTTACACTCTAAAAAATGCTGGGTTATTTCTACCCAATGTTGGGTCAAATATGGACTAACCCAACTGTTGGGTTAAATTTTGGTTACATTTTTAAATTTACTTTTTAACCCAACAGTTGGGTTAGTCCATATTTGACCCAACATTGGGTTGAAACAACCCAGCATTTTTTAGAGTGTATGTTGTCAGTTTCTTCCCTCAGGCAATCCATCTCATGAACACTTAACAATAACTGTGGATCACACAACATTATTTATACACTATACACACACTTATTTATCTAACACACATACTTAGTCTACATTTCAAATTTGCACTAATATACCTGTACATACAAAACTGTGTATTGTAATATACCTGTACATACAATTGTCAATTTGTATATTGTTATTTTTTATTTACTTTTATTTTTTTATTATCTGTGTTTTTGTTCTGTCACAGTCAGTCTGTTGCCCTGTGGAGCTTCTGTAACTAAAACAAATTCCTTGTATGTGTAAACATCCCTGGCAATAAAGCTCATTCTGATCTGATTCTGATACGAGTGACCTCTGATGGCAGGATGACGGCACGATAGCAGTGATACGAATTTATTCAGGTAACGTATAAGCAGTTTCGCTAAAAATTTTAAACTTCCAATAGAACATATTAATATTGTTATTTTAAATTAGATTATTTATAATTATTAATTATTAGTCTTTTTTGACAGTTCAGCTGTTACCTGGATCGGATTAATTTTAATTATTTATTTATTTTATTAATTTGCTTAAATTAGGGCTACATTTATTTTTCCCATTTTTATCTAAATAATTTAGCATTTTTTAACTTTTAAAATTACCAAATTGTATATGACATTTTTTATTATATATCTATGATTAATATAAATTATACATTAATAAATAGGTCTAACATTAATTATAAACTATTAATTCATCTGTCTAATAATGTCTAAAAATATAATAATTATGTCTACCAAGCTCTGATAATGTATGGAATATTATACAGACTATCCAAATTTTAATAAAACAATAGGCCTGTACCTTGAAGCACAGATGTGTATGTCACTTTAAAAATATTAAAATTCTGTCATAATTTACCCAGGTTGTTCTAAACCTGCATAAAGTTCTTTCTTCTGTTGAACACAAAAGAAGATAATATGAAGAATGTGGGTAACCAAACAGCTGCTGGTAAGAAAATAAAATGAAAAATTCACCACATTCTTCAAAGTATCTTCTTTTATGCTCAACAGAAGAAATAAATTATTACAGGTTTGGAACATCTTGTGGGTGTGTAAACGATGACAAAATTGTCATTTTTAGGTGGACTATCTCTTTAAGTCAGACAGTCCACTGTGAGCAACTGAAATGCTTCTCTGCAAACTGCGCGTTCATCATTAGTTACAGGACAGACCCATTGATAACTTTCCCATTCAGCTGGGTCACATCACTAACCCATGTATGCAGACTCATGTAGGCACCAAATGGGAGCTACCTGGTTTACCCATATGGGCCCTATATGGAGCCCATCAAGGTCCCATCATCAGCCCATCTGGGCTAACCCATGTGGGGCCACCATGGAAACTGAGGACAAAATTAGCTGGGTCCCAGTTGGGTAGCCAAGGTGGGCCCCATATATCAGCCCATTTGCAACCCCTATGAGGCCCAGTTCGATGTAAATGTAAAACTTTGAGACTGAAAGTAAAAAGAGAAGTGCAAAAAGTAATAAGAGATGTGTGAATATGTCATTGTCAAAGCCTCTGCTCAATTTCTGTTTCACTTCTCGCTTCTGTTAGGCTTCATCTGAATTAATTCATGCTTGTTACTTGATACTTTAACAACACGTTCTTGATCACTTAATGCTGTCTTGGTTAGCATTGTGAAAAAGATCGATTATAAATGGCCGTGACCTGAAGAGCTTCTCAGCCTCAAATACGTGAGACTCCAGAAGAGCGTGTGAAGCGTGTGCATGGGACGGGAGGAAGAACCTGCTGAAGAGTCAGAATTCGGCACAACACTGAACCCAGTGACGGTGAAATAACATCCACAATGGGTAGGCAACAAATCAAATTAGAATGAAATATAGAAGTTATAGGCTGAAATGCTATCGTTTTCAAAGGTGTAACAAATTATATTTTATATATATATATATATATAAATATATATATATATATATATATATATATATGTATATATATA